CTTAAGGATTTACCCTAAGAATTAGCTATTCCTCGTTCATTCTTTCCTAAGGATTATCCTAAGGAATAGGCACGAAATCCATCGTTGCCAGGGTCTACTCAACAGACACTAAATCCATAGTTGCCAGGGTTTGCTCATCAGGCACTAAATCCATAGCTGCCAGGGTTATCTCGTTTATCGACAGTATCGTTTTCGAGAATCCACTCGCAATACATGTCAATGGGTTTTTATCTCGTTTATCGACAATATCGTTTCCATGAATCCACTCGCAATATATGTCAATGGGTTTTTAGAGTACAGCTGGTGAATACACAGTTCAAATAACACCTACAGGTTTCGATCCTGCTAGTGTTCCATTGGACTGTCTAGAATAGTCCGTGGTTGTCATCCATACTCTGCTAGATGACGGGGCCAACACTTGGGTAAAAGGCTTCTCTCATGGTTCACCTCTCACCCTTATCTCATGGTCTATATCACCTCTCATCATTTTATATGTAACACATCAACTATTTCATCTACCCATGTTTTACCCAACACATTTTGTAGATATAAAATACATATACAGTTTAAATCATTTAATACATGTATAGAAATCTTTCACCCAGCATAGACGACAAGTATACAGACAATATGCACACATAGCATGTAATTTATATTAAATACTTCATATCTATGTGTAAGATGAAAGTAACTATGCACTCACCTGGTAAGGCGGTGACTCGGTACTCAGACAACACTTCGTTACTCTTAAAACAATTTTCCTATGACGAAACCTAATATCATTACCACAAGAGTTTAGTCTAACGTTTGACGAGACTAATTAATAGTCCAACTATTATTACTATTATATAAGCACAAAACAATATTTCTCAACCACTATGTACAGACAGGGGCCATACATGAAACACCGGAGGGCAGGATTATTTCGGCATATAGCACTTCTGAAGCCAGCAACCCAAACGGCCCTCCAAACCAGATTCCCTGTACCGCGAGTGGTTAAAAAGATATTATAACGACACTTATATAACTCATAATAATAGCCCAAATAATTATCATAAGGTCCTAATAATATTACTATAATTAAATAAAAGTTATATTAAAAATAGCATAGGCGTAGCTCACTTACAACGAGTTTTTATTAAAAACCGGGCTTCGCTGGAGCAACGTTTCCGAGCCGAAAGCTTTTCTTCTCGGAGTCGTCGGGCGCTCCGGGGCTTCCTTCTCATCCTAGGGAGGTTCCCTAGACTTGGGAGGGGTTTAGGGAGGCTAGAGAGAAGTTAGAGAGAGAAAGAAAGGCTTATGATGTGAAGAAAATATGAATGATTCATCCTTTATTTATAGGAGTTTTATAGTAAAGTAGCCCCTAAATTTCGTCCGTATCTTCTGAGTACGAGCTCTGTTTTCTACGTTCTTTGTATCCACGCGTTGGTATTTACGAGTACTACAACTTTCATTTAGATCCCGTTGGCTAATTCTCATTCTATCTCGGATTTACAAAACTGTATCGCATTCGCCGCGCTCGAAAAGTAGAGACTAAGCTTTGTCCATATCTTTCGCATACAAGCTCCGTTTTTGTCGTTCTTTATATACACGCGTAGGTAAAAACAAGATCTACAACTTTCCTTTTGACTCCGTCGGCTAATTCTCGACCGATCTTAAATTTAACAGTATGAGGAGATTATACTGTTAAATGACCGCGTAAAATTCATAACTTCTACATACGGACTCTGTTTTCGTCTGTATTTTGGTCGTTGAGTTCCTATTAATGAGATCTTCATTTCTCATTTAGGTCACGTTGGCCAAAAACCGCTCGATCTAAAATTCGAGTTTCGGGCCGTGCACTGCTATGTCAAATCTTAGAAAAATCATAACTTCCTCATACGAAGTCAGATTTGGACGTTCTTTTTATGTACACTCTCGGTTTAACGTATACTACGAATTTTTTTAGATTGTTAAGGCTAAAAAGTCTTCTATCGTAAATTCACTATTTACGTCGCGTTGTGTCGTGCCGTGCCGGTTTTGCCGAAAAACTTCGACGAGTCATAACTTCTTCGTTATAACTCGGATTTCGGCGTTCTTTATATGTACAGAACCCTTGTAACATATACTACCACTTGGAAAAGATTAATACTTCTCAATAATCTTCCATAAAAAACTCATTTTTTATGCTTATTGTCTCTAAATTGACTAGCCCGGATCTGCAGATGTTACAGATACCTTCAGTAATGGTAGGTTTTGGTTGTGGGTTTGTGTCATCGATGAACTTATAAAGATTGTTTAGAGAAGAGGGGTTAACCTAGCTGATACCATATAAGTGAATCAATCAAAGATATTTCTCATTGAATTGGAATCGAATACATATACAAAGGAGGATCCGATAATAAATGATCTGTTACAACAAATAAGGAAGACTATTTCTATCTCTATCTATAATTCAAAAGTAAATAAAACATGTGGAAAATATACATAATAAAAGGAATTTGGATCTGGGTTATGTGTTAATACCTGTCAGTCGACAAAGGACGACTTCCGGTGGACCCTCTCCCTTGCCCTCGGTCTCTTCGATGTCATCATTGAGGTCGAAGCCAAAACCCACATCCAAATTGGATGATCGCAGTCTTTTGTTGGAGTTGGTGGCGGATTCCGAATTAAGGACCCATTTTGGACCCTCACCATAAACTAGCCACACTTTTTGGTGGCCGAACGGTTTATCGTTGTTGGTAAGCTTGTATTGTTGGGACGTGGTTGATAGAATATTGAAATCGTTGCTCCTAACTTTTGTGTGTATTTTTAAGATTTTAAAAAATGCCATAAAACATGTGGAAAATATACATAATATAAGGAATTTGGATAAGGGTTATGTGTTAATACATGTCAGTCGACGAAGGATGACTTTCGGTGGACCCTCTCCCTTGCCCTCGGTCTCTTCGATGTCATCATTAAGGTCAAGGCCAAAACCCACATCCAAATTGGATGATTGCATTCGTTTGTTGGAGTTGGTGGCGGATTACGAAAGTGATTCCGAATTAAGGACCCACTTTGGACCCTCACCATAAACTAGCCACACTTTTTGGTGGCCGAACGATTTATCATTGTTGGTAAGCTTGTATTGTTGGGACGTGGTTGATAGAATATTGAAATCGTTGCTCCTACTTTTGTGCGTATTTTTAAGATTTTCAAAAATGCCATTAAATTTGGTGCAACTTGCTCGTAGGTCATGCCATATTCCGTTGACCGCATCATATGGCCGATAGGTACACTTTCCCATTTCCACGTGCAAGTTGTGTAAATACGATCCCAAAAACTCCCTTTTGATTATGTATTGCCTTTTTCTTTGTCTTCCGATATAGATATCCAAGCTCTCACTAACACCACTTCCTCTTCTTCGGTCTAACCCCGACTACCTTTTTTAGCCTTTCCTTTCCATTTCCTTCTTGTTGGTGGTGGTTGGGTTTCTTGGACCCTTTCGTCTTTGTCTTTGTCATCGTTGATGTTTGTAGGTTGCTTTTGATAAAATGGAACTTGAGTTTGGGAGATGGTTGTGACTGAAAAGTTTGAAGTTGAGAAGGTTGTTATTGAAAAGTTTGGAATTAGGAATGATGGAATTGTTGTGGTATAGGTTGTTGGAAGTAGTTTGTGGAGTATGGATAGGGATGTCAACGGGACCAAACGGGAGCGAAAATAGCTGCCCCGCCCCCGCTCCCATAATCAGAATTTGCCCCTGCCCCCGAATCCCCCGTTTACATTGCCCCCAATCCCGCCCCCAAATACATTTATCACCCCCGATCCCCCCCCCCCCCCCGTTCCCCTGTTTTATAGGCTTAAAATTGACTTTTTTGCTAAATAAGTAGAATTTCATCGTGTTTTACAGTCAACAATTAAGTTTTTTTCACAAGAAACATTCTCAAACTTCACTTTTTTGAAATGTATCAAGTCTTTTTGGTGTAGTTGTCCAAAAACTACAACTGTTACGAACTTTCTTAATCCCATGTCCAAAAACATCCAACTCACTCTTCACAATTAAATTCAAAATATGTGCCGCACATCGCATATGAAACAAGCTTCTACCCAAAATCAAGCTATCAAAAGGAAGTTTGTCTACCATCAAATCTATCATGCAATTATTTGTTGAACAATAACAACAGTTAAAGTTGATAAGTTTCTGTCTATGTTCCAATCCAACAAACTATCCATCAACACATTAGTTAGTTTCTCAACAGTATGGGGACATGACACATATATAAACCTACCAGTTAACAAAATAAATTCAAGAACAAATTACTGAAATCGTCTCTGTGGTTTGGGTAAAAATGCGCGTTGGGTCTTTAACTTTTTTTGCACTCGGACAGTCCCTAACATATCATTTTGTTGTGTCTACAGTCCCTTGTAGAGATAAAAGACTATATTAGCCTTGACATTTTCTTTTTCAATTTTTTTATATTTATAAATTATTTATTAATTAAAGAAAATAAATTATAAGTAATTTATAAATAAGTGGGTCCAACTACCATTTCCCTTCTCCTCTACCTTCCACCTCCACCATCTACCTCTGGCAACCTCTGTCTACCTCCGGTAACCTTCGTTTATAAAATCAAAACCGACAACTACCCCCACCACTCTTTATAAAATCAAAACCTTCAATCAATACTAAGCCAAACCACAAATCAAAATCAAATCCTACAAAAAATGATCGATGTCCAGTCAACTACAAATCTAGAACATCAACTGAGGGGAGGCAGTGGAGGGGAGGACCGAGGAGGTCGTTTTCTTGTTGTGATTACCGTTGAGATTGCTGTGATTTCGACCATCCAACCTCCAAACGACGACCATCTTCTTCTACCTTACACCGCCACTTCCTCACCATCCACATTTGGCTTGAGCTCCCACCACCCTACCCCAACCCACGACTAAATACCCAATAAAACCCTTTTCAATGGTTTTCTTCTGCTCGATTATATCATTCCCCTCACAAATCGGTAAAAGAACAAAACACTTACACTCTATCTCTCGATTGTCTTCTTTCTCGACTGTCTGTTGATGAACCAGGAGAAACATACTTTCATATTCTTCTTCTGGTTCGAATTTTGGGTTTCCGTGAAAAGGATATCGGGGTTGTCATCTGTCTCCACCCATATGCGTTCAACAAATTCTTCTTTAATCTGCATTCCATTGTTGCTTTTTGGTGTTGATTTGGATTTCAATTGGTTTTTTTGGAGGTTTCGTTTCTTGATTTGGTTTTGATTTGATTTTAGTTGATTTTGATTTGATTTGATTTCAGTAGGTGTAGAAGGAGGTAGAAAGAAATGACGGGGTGAAGGGTGGATCTAGGGCGAGGAAGATTTTTGATGGTGAGGGGTTCAATGGTTGCCGACGGTATAGGAGAAGGAAGGCCCCCGGAGAACGTGGCAGTCGGAGAAGATGACCCCACGGTGGCTGATTTGGGGCAACAAGAAGCAAGATAAGTGATAGGGACCGTGGGTTTGAGATGTGGGACCCACAAATAATTTTTGTTAAACCTTTTTCTTAATAAGATAATATTAATTAGAATTTAATATCAATAATAGAAAAACAAATAAAAAATAAAAGAAAGGGTATCTTAGTCATTTCAGGTGTGGTAGGGACTGAACGTGTAACAAATATAAACAATAAGGATGGTCCGAGTGCCAAAAAAAGTTAGGGACCAAACACGCAATTTTACCCAAACCACAGGGACGATTTTAGTAAGTTCTAAATTCAATTTAATTAAAGAATGTATACTGATAGATTAAACAAATTAATATAAATTAATTATTACCTCAAAAGACGACTTTGTAATTGCCAAGAATCATCAATAAAATGGGATGTTACTGTCATGTATCCTTTTTTTTTGGTAGTTGGCAGTCCACATATCGGTAGTTATTGCAATCCTACCTTGAATACTCTCCAAAAAATGCATCATCCTTGCCTTGTCCTTACCTTAGAACTTCATGACATCAGATCTAGCTATATTTCTACAAATCGGCCTAAAAAGTGGTTAGAGCCCCTGACAAAAATCTCTAAAGCCATCGTGTTCAACAATTCTAAGTGGGTAATCATGTTTTGTGATCATTTTAGCAAGATCAATTCGCGAATCATCATAATTAAACCGATGTGTTGCTAAAAGTGATCCCCCACTTTCATCTATCTTAGATCTTTTTCCGGTTAACTGACTCTGAAAATCATCAATTTTCTTTTGTCTGGTTCGTATTTTGCATGCCTTATGGTCAGTATGCATCCCGTTCGTTCCATTTTTGCTTGTATACATAATTTCCTTTCTACAATACTTACAAACAGCCATTCCGGTTCCATTAACATCTTCATAGGTGAAATGACGCCACACTGGAGATTTAAATTTCATTTGTTTCACATTACAGTTAACTACAGAATTGGCGATATCATTAACCGTGTTTGAATCATTGGATTGATTCGACTCTGCTAAAGACATGATTACAAAAATCTGAAAATGGTTCACACAAATATAAAAATCAGCATTATTTTTTCGCATAACTAACAAAAATTAGCTTATCGTAGCAACTAACTGAAGTAAGATCTCAGATTTAACAACTAAATGAAGTAATATCCCATAATCTATCAACATTGAACTTATGGCAAGTAGAATAAGAAAAGGAAAATGCAGAAATTACACAACAACATTGAACTTATCTGTCAACATTGAACTTATCTGATTCAGCAACATCTCCCATAAATTACACAACAACATCACATATTTTATTGATGAAACAATGACAAAAAGTGAGAAATAGATTACACAACAACAAACCATAAATTACACAACAACAAACCATAAATTACACAGCAACATCACATATTTTATTGACAAAACAGTGAGAAACAGAGGGTAAATCATCAGAAATCGGTAAATCAAACAGTGAGCCAACAGTCGACTATCGAGGGTAAATCAACTAATCGGTAAATCAAACTCTCAATTGTATGAAAGAGGAAAAATGGAAAATAGAGGGTAGATTACTACTTACCAGGGGATGTGAAGTCACAGACTCATAGTCGAGTATACAGTATACACGAACTCGAACTCACGAAGACACAATCGACTGTCGTGATTCGTGAAGACCGGTGAAAGGGTGTCGGCAGGCGGAAGGGCATCAGCAGCCGATGACTCTGTCATCGACGAAGCTGACAGGAAAGGTCAAAGGTGTTGGGTCGCTGGTTGCGTCTTGGGTGGGGGTGGGAGAATCCGGTCGTATCGTATCTCGTATGTGATTGTGAAGAAGTCCTAAAATTAGATACTCTATTTCCCATATGTGTTTTACATTTTATATATATATATATATATATATATATATATATATATATATATATATATATATATATATATATATATATATATATATATAAACATACAATCGGGGCCCCCACAGGAGTACAAGACGGAAATACTCACTCTCGACCCCGATCCCGAAAATAAACGAGGTTTAATTTCGCCCCTACCCCTGAATTTTTAAAAAAATTAGTATCGTACGGTATCGGGGTTCCATGGGGGTTTATGACATCCATAAGTATGGATGGTTGGTGAACAAGGGTTATTGAATTGGGGATGTTAACATGTGCATGTATCCACCCATATGTGCGTCCATATCATTTAGGGTGTTTCGAGTGGTTGAAGTATTTTGATTTTGATCCACAACAAGTTTGATGAAAATTTGAGAGTACAGAAAAAATAGATGTGTTTGTAGTGTGAAATATGTATAAAAGTGTTAGTATTTAAGGTAAATATGGTTTGGTTTCAATTTAAAATTTTCATAACTTTTTGGTTTTTATGCCCAACGGATCCAAATCAACGGTCAAGTTATTGCCTGTTTCCTCCCAACCAATTAATGCGTTCGTATTCCTCCGTGAGGAACATCACTCCAAAAGACACCTACGCATGGGAGGCGCTCTTCTTGCATGGAAGAAGGGTGACACGTCAACTTCTACCGTTTCCTCCCAACCAATCAATGTGTTCGTATTCCAATAGTACCTTACTTGCGACCAAATATATGTCCACTTTACTATGTGTTCCATTATGGGTATGTTTACCAACAAGTTTTGGATAAGTTTTGAAAAAAAAATATTTTGGATGTACAAGCTTGAAGTTTTTATTTTAAAAGTGACAAAACCATCTAATCTATAAAGCTACTTCAAGTTTTTAGTTTTTAAGATTTATGTTATTTTATATCTTTTAAAAACTCACAACTACTATTTCAAAGCCCTTTTACACAAATATAATCTATAACTTCTAATCCATAGCTTCCGGCTACTAGTTAGGCTAGATGGAGTGGTAACACTCCTAACACCTTGTCATATATGTTTTTTTATTGCCACATAAGTTTAGCATGTATAGATTGAAAAAGATAGGAAGAAGTAGTGTATATATTTTGTTTTGAAAAGAAAAATAAAAAATTAAATGTAATATACCCACAACCAACCAATCACATAGAAAGTGGAATTCAGTCAAAGAATTGAGAACCAATCACAACAAATCTCTCTCTCTCTCTCTTGTAGGGAAATTTAGGGTTTGTGGTGGAGATCTAGATACCAACTTGGATCGTGATATCACTTTCGGAACTGATATTTTGTCACACCCCAAAACCGGAACGGCGGAATCGTTCAGGGGTGGAGGACGTCATGTTTAGTATCACGAGATATGTATATGGTAAGCAAGTAATGAACAACCATTTCATTTCCAAAGAAAGTATTTACAATGTGTGTGTTCACAAAACATAGAATTCATAAACAAATAACAAAACAAGACTTGAAGCTATAATGCTCCATCTTCTGAATTCCCAGCACGACCACCTGTCTAATAGTCTCCTGAGAATACAAGTTATTTGAAAGAGTTCATCAGCAATTAAGCTGGTGAGTTCATAAGATTTTAGTGATGTGAGTAAGTTGTAAAGTGTTGTTAAAAGTGTAGATGTAAAATTGTAAGTTGTAAGTTCTGTTTTGAAAAGTTCGCCTGTTCCTCTAGAAAATCCTATATTTCCTACTTTGATGGAAGTTTAAGTAAAATGACACTACAACCCTTTCTATGGGTACTAAGTGGGTACAAGTTATATAAGACTCAAAGTAAACAAACAATCGATTGTGCGCATCTGCCCTAAACTCACAACCAAACGAGGAACAGAAATCAAGGCGGATAGCACACATCCCATTGGTTGTTAGATCATCGTCATATATAACCCTGGTGTATTCACTTGTTACTCATGGAGTTAATTGTATTGGTTCCTTTATATCTAATGAAAAGTTCTTCAAGAAAACCCATATTTCTTATAATAAAATGGTGACCACAGTGACCACTTTTATAATAGCTTAGTTTATACTGATATATATAATCCAATATCGGATAGAAAGTTAACTGGGTGAATCTGCCCTAAGCCCACAACCAAACAAGGAACAGGAAGTAAGGCGGAAGGCACACATCCAACTACCTATTGGGTATTAGTTTTATATATAAACATGGTGTATAAACTAAGGTATTATAGAGTTACTCACCTAAGGTCCTTTAAATTGTACTGGTTTAATAAAATGGATTAAACCCTTTACTGGGAAGTTTCTAGTTTTGTATACCAAAAGTACTGATTTTGGAAAGTATGTTTTGTACTAGAAAAAACTGTGCTTTGACTCTGTGTCCTATAACCTGACCCATACCTGGTACCCTTATGATGACTTAATGTATACTAAGCATACATATATATAGAATCGGGTAGAAAATAGATTGGGTGAATTCGTTCCAAGCCCACAACCAAACAAGGAACAAGAAATGAAGCAGAGAGCACACATCCTATTACCTGTCGGACTCTACTGGTATATATATATATATATATATATATATATATATATATATATATATATCCTGTGATGTATACATTAAAGAATCATAAGACTAGCATTATGGTCCTTTCTTTTAAACGTAGCCTTCTACCAAGGCATCTTCTGTTATGTGCTAGACTCGACTGTTCCGTTTGTCGATTGTAAAAATGTTTATTTTCCCTAGTTTATAACTATCTTGACTCGAAAATAGTTTGAGTTTGACTTTCAAGTGGTACTGTCACTTTATGAAAGTAATGGGAAATGTAAGTACACAGTTGTCGTTTATAATGACATGCGGATGTACTAATAACCTAAAAACATATTTGTTTTATTACGGTTATAATATGAAGGCTAGAACCCTTACTATACGCTCTCCCTGTCAGGAGATTTGGGGAACTAAACACGACCTCTGCAAATTCTTGCAAGCCATGTAATTCACATTAAAGTATATGATCATGTATACCCAATATAACTATCACCTTTTGTTTAAAACAAAGAGCTAGTGATTCATTGGTATAATTAGATCCTGTATGAGTGTTCTTATGCTATAGCAACCTAACTTGTTTGTTTTGTACTGTATCTTGTACGTTATGTTTGTTTCTAGTAATTGTGTGTTCTCTCTGTATGGTATTGTTTGATTCTCTTCACTATCTGTTCTGTATGGTATTGACTCTTTGTGTGCTTCATTGTACTAGAAGTAATGAATAACATTCTCCTAAACTATACCTATTATAGCTTACTAATGTTCTACTTGGACTGTTACTGGAAAGACTCGTTTATCTACTAAGTTATGTTTGTACTTTAAAAACAAAGTTTTGTATAACTAGAAAGTAACATAACTTTAAAAGAGTTTTGAAATGTTTTGACGACTTACAAATGACATAAGTAACATTTTGAAAGATGTTTATAACAAACATTTACACAATTATCATTGTGTTCAACTTGTATTCCCCCCCCCCCCCCTTGAAACAGTTAAAACAGTTAAAAGATTCATTACGGGGTATGAACTCACCTGATGTGGGTGATTCAAACGGGTATGCATGTAAGGATGAGAAGTTCCACGAATGAAGTCCCGAGACACAATAAGTCCTAAATGACATATACGGACACATATTGACATGAATATAGTGTTTATAAACAACTATATGAAAGGAAACACCTTCCGGGACTAGGAAACACCTTGATCAAGTGTTGGAATCACATGTGATTCATCAAAGGAAAGTGAAATGGCACTAACATGTGTTTACGGTTTAGGAACCAACTCCCTTGGAGTTTACGGTTTAGGGACCAACTCCCTTAGAGTTTACGGTCGTAAACCCATGAGTTTACGGCCGTAAACTCATGGTACTTCTACCATTTTGTGTTTTGAAGTCTTAAAGGTCATAAGGAAGCATCCTAACTTCAAGTCTAAGCCTTAAGAAGTGATTGTGGCAACATTTCACCCCTTTGTAGAGTTTACGGCCCATGGACCATTTCTACATGAGTTTACGGCCGTAAACTCTAATGGTCCTTGATGTTTTCGATGTTTAAGGTCCTATACACTTCAAGGAAGGGTTCTGGGTCACTTACCTTGCATCCTATAGGGTTTATGGCCCTAATGGCCACCAAAAAGGGGTTTACAGTCTTGGGAGTTTACGGCCGTAAACTCCCTTTGATCTTGTGTTCTTGATGTTTTCAAGCCTCTAAGCATGGATACTAACTAGATATGAAGTATAGGGAAGTGTACTTACGATCTAGAAGCTTGAAATGGTTGATATTGGCCAAGAACACTAGTGTGTGTTCTTGGTGTTCTTGGTGAAACTTGAAGATCTATGAAAACATGATTTCCATGGATGAATCATAAGGATGAAGCTAGTTAAGAAGGATTAACAACTAATTAGAGAAAGAACACTTATGATTTTTGAAGATCAAGTATGAAGATCAGGATTTGAGAGAAAACTCATGTGTTCTTGAGGGGAAAGTGAAAGAGTGAAGAAAAGTGAAGGAAATGAACTTATATGGAGGAGTTTACGGCCTACATGAGTTTACGGCCGTAAACTCCATGTTTACGGTCGTAAACTCCATTTGATGGAGTTTAGGGCCTGATTCTTGTACTGTGGCCTTTAGCAGATAAATTCCAACACTTATTCCTTAAGTGTACTAGGCCTAAACTCCTTAGAAAGACCTTTAACCGAGTTAGAACTCAGTACTAATGAATTTGACACTCATTTGAGTTGATTGACTGGGCTTTAAATTTAAAATTTTTTCCGGGTTGTCACATATTTCTACCCTATGCCTGGGTTACAAGAAATTCAGCCTAGGATAATCCAAGTGGACACTTACGATTCTAGGCACAGAAATCGTAAGCCAATATGCTATAGGATTCTGTGAAAGTATGATGAAAACCGAGAGCTTCAGATCGTATCTCTCTTCTGAAAAGAAGAGTCGTTTATATAATAAACGATATTAGGGTTTCATTAGGGTTGGGCCGCTATGGATTCCTTTGGAAGCAAGTCAGGGTAATCCGGATTTTAATGAGGATTTAGGGTTACCAAAACTAACGAGTTTCGTTAGTTTTACCATAATCACCCTCAAGAATTGAAAGCAAGTCAGGGGCTCTGCCCCTTGGACCCCGCTAGGGGCGCTGCCCCTAGACCCCGCCAAAGGGGCGCTGCTCCTTTGGAAACCCCGGACCCAGGGGCGCTGCCGCTCCCTCCCTCTGGTTCCTTGGTTCCTTGGCAAGATGTTCTTAGCGAGGCTGGTAGCATAACTTAGGGGGTGGTGTAGCGAGTTGCTAGCAAGGGTCCCACTCCTTTAAGCCTTAGTTTTGTCAAACATACTTTAATTAAACTTGCTTAAATGTGAATATGTCTTAACAATATATTTTTACAATATTAAAGTAGTTCAATCTATCAAGCCTACAACATTAGCCCATGAAAAAGAAAAAACTTATTTGCAAACAACAAAAAGAACCAAAACTCAAATCAAACTTATAGTCAACAAGTATTTTTTAAATGTTTTTTCCTTTTCCTAAAGTAACCACCTTAGCCTTATGTTTCCTTCCCGCAATATGCTTCTGTAAATCAATCTCACTTGTTGCAATCACCTCACAGATCCGAAATCTCCACTCCATTTCCTTCTTTGTATCTTCTTTCGAATCATTTGAAACATATTCTAAAAAGTTCTTAATCACAAATGGCTCATGTGTCTCAACAGACTTGTTACTTTTACCATTGTTGTAACCTCTCAAAGACTCCATATTGGCTTTATGTTTTTTTCCTCTAAGGTGATCAAGTAAACCACTCTCACACGTTGTACTAACCTCACAGATTGGACATGTCCATTTGGATGAGTAATTGATAGTTGCCACTTTGGCCATGTGTTTTTTTCCTGCAAGATGTTGCAGGAAACCATTCTCACATGGTGCACTAACCTTACAGACCGGACATTTCCACTCTATATTCTTCTTTTGACTGTAGGAATTAAGCTCGGTTGAATGTAATGATGGTGGTGGGTTATGTCCAGCTCCAGACGTGGTTGGCTGTAATAAGAAACTCAGTATGAAATTACATAAAAACCCAAAAACTGAAATCTCTGAAAAGGTAAAAGCCCCCAAAAGCTACTTGAATTAGAATCTTGGATGGAATTCTGTACATTAATGGAAGAAAACTATTCTACTCAGAAGATTTTAACCAGAATAAAGTACTGATTCGTGAATGACGCATGAACCTAGAGAAAGAACAAGGATTACTCACCATAAACGACGATGAAAATCCCTTTCCGTTCTTCATTGCCATTATCTCTCGTCCAATCATCAATTCTTTCCTCACTTCTGCTTCCAAAACGTGAAGACGCTCAACTTCCTCTGCTATAATCATCCCCCGTATCATCTCTTTCTCAAGTTCACGCTGAATCGCCTCTCGCGTACACATCGGTCCTCCTGAAAAATCGTACACATCAAGATTTATGTTCAAGTAAACCATCGCACATGTAATTTTCAACTACACTCGATGAAATCGTAATAAAAATCTACAAATCGAATAATGATATTTGATTTGCGGAACTTATTGAACAGTTAATCGAATGAATATGATCGATGATTGCGTACCTTCCATTGCAAGTTAGTATGGTTAGAAGAAGCTAATGAAGAAAGTGTATGCTAGACTTGATTGTGCTGCATTTTATTAAATCCTGGCACCCTGAACTCCATTATTGCTACAGGGATGTAAGAATTTAGGGTTTTGCAGTATTACGTATCAGGTCTGGATTCCGAGGGTGATTTAGCGCCGAGTATGGTTGGAAGTAAAAAGACGAAGATACATTGTTGGTAAATTCTCTCGTTTAGGAAAAAGAAGCCGAGTATATAGTCGTTTGATTCATCCAATATGAAATTGACTAATCGAGATACCATTTAGGAGTATGAATGGTTGATGAAACTATGGAACTACAAGGCGTTGTAGTCCTACTTTTCCTTCTATAAATGTTTGCAATCTTTAAGTCAGATATTAAAATATGTAAATTTGAATTTGGTTAAAGATCATATTACAATAAAATGTATCGTGTAAGTTACATTTAGGGGTGTTTGTGATTCAAACGTACCGAGTTTCAAAAAGTTTGAAAAAAGTGGCTTCTTCAAAACTTGTGTGGAAAAGCTAAAAGCCATTTTGAATTGAATTTCCAAATACTTTTATAGTTGAATGGCTTCTTGGTAAACTAACAAGTGATAAGTGTATGCGGACTTTCAATACACAATCCCAAACACCTTATTAGATGATCAAGATTAAAAAAATTATAAATTTTTGTATTTATTACAAAATCAGATGATTGAAACATAAAAACAAAAAACTTTAAATAGAAAGACCAATACATGCAACAAGAACGAAAAACCAATACATGCAACAAGAACAGCGAGGGATACCGGTGGGCGTAAGGATGTTTGGCATCAAACTTTTGGAAGTTCTTAGTAATTTTTAACTTTTAACTTGTAAGTATCTTGTAAGTATTGGCTTTTAGTTTTAATTTAATAAAAAATCTTCTAATAGCTTTTATATTTTAGTAACTTTTAGCCTTTTGATTTTATGTGATTTTACACATTTTAAAAGCTTACGGTCACTTTTTTCAGACACTTCTAAACAAATAAAAACTACAACTACTAACTTTCAACTGCTAACTAGTTTTGTCAAACATATTAACGGTTTTGGGAAGCCATCGGAAAGCTTGATGCCAATTTTGGAGCTATGAGGAGAATTAGAGATGGATTTGAAGTGTAGTTGAAGAATAGAAGCTTGAATTGCATCCTTGAGACACTAGAAGGTACAATTCCTTCTTCTAATCTAGGATTTTGGATTTCCCCAAATCCGAATTTGTGATGTCTAGGAGGATAGGATTGAGTCCATAGCTTTGTTTGAACTATTTGTTTATGAATCTAAAGTCAGATTACTCATGCATGGCTTGATTAGCTTGAATGTCATTTTGGGTTTTGAAACCTTAACAATGGTGGATTTGAATATTGACCTTTATATGTGCGTTTGATCCATGATCTAACATTGTTTTAACTTTTTAAACTCATTTGGAAGAAATGAATGCACCATATGTTGATAATTGCTCATGTTGATCAAATATAGTTTTTTGAGTTAGTTAATAGCTTCATTGATGATTTGAGTTGTAAATGTGACATTATCTAACTTTGGAATAATTTAAACTTCAACCATTGTCATCAATCTAACTCATAATGTCCACCATATTTAAGTTTGAAGATGATCCAATGATGATTTGCAAATTACAATTCATTTTGAACTACATATGATTCACATAAAGCCTTAGTTTTTCATGTCATAAACCATTGGATCATCATATTTGAATCTTTAAACTATGTGAAAATATTGTTTTCTAATGGATTTGGAAGTATTATATGTGTTTAAAAATGTTGTTAAATGATATCTAACCATTTTAAGTCATTGGGATTGGTTATGGAGGCGTTTAAGTCATATCATCAATACATAATGTTGATTTTAGATGAAAAATCACATTTTTGATGACCTATACACTTACATAGCCATTAAATATATAGGAATAATGACACATCTCGTGTAATTAGTTGAGACAAAACCAAAAATTCCATAATTGTTGATCTCTTGATCCTTATGACGTCAAACCACTTCTAGTGCCTTTTTAATCACTTACTGAACATATTTAGGAAATAAAATATACTGAAAACACTAATTATATTAGGGGTTTGATTAGTGGTTATTCACTTATTCAATTCAATAATTGGGTTAAACTTTAACCACATGTTACCATTAGTCAACTACCTTAAAAGGAAAATAACTTTTTTTCTAATACTTAAGATGAGTTTTTACCAAGAGTAAATATCCATAAACCTACTTTAATGATTTTGAATTATTAATTTCATATGATGTCTATTATGTACAGTGTGAATATAAGTATTTGTGTATTTCATGAAATCTATTTTGATAATAACTTCTTTCACTTTGAAAAATACTATTTATTTTATTGAAATCATCACGAGCATTCAAATTGTGCATTCACATATGATAGGTTGAATTATGTGTCCACTTAACTTTGGGATCACTAAACTTGTCTAAATATCCTAAAAAAGGGTTGTTTGTAAATATCATTCTAAAAGGTTCTCATGTACATGTGTACTTGCTACCCCAGATGTGGTCTAATGTGATCGCCACTAAAACCTAGTTCGTCTATAAGCCCCATGTCTAAGCCAATGTTAGGTGTTTTCGAAACATTCGGGAAATAATTTTACAAAGAGTTATTGAAGTGGAGACAAACATTTTTTTTTATTAGAGTTTTTTTATCATGATCAAGAGCATCCGTTTTAAGATAGGTTTCAGAGTTGTTTTGTCGGTTCAGACTTCGATAACCAATTTAAGACTTTTGAGATTTTAAGGGTTGTTTGTGACAACATTGTAGAATGCCTCACATGATATTTGCATCATGTTGTTATCTAAGACTCTGAAGAGAATGATAGCACTCTTAGCATATTGCCACATAAGATTTTTTGATGTTATATAGACTAAAAGAAATGGTAGCATCCAAGTTGTAAAAAAATAGATAGTAGTGGCGTATTATTTTAAAAATATTTATTTAGAAAAAACAGGCAATAAGCTCTCTCTCTCTCTCTCTCTCTCCATCTCTCTCCATCTCTCCTTAGCACACCTCTTAGCATAAGCTAGGGGTGGTGTAGCGAATTGCTAGCGGGGGTAATGGCGAGGTTTAGCGCCTCCCACTCCTAAGCCCAATGGGACAAAGCATTAGACTTTTTTTAGTGTGCTTGGTGCTAACTTTTACAAGGTCTAGAACCATCATTTGTGAGATGTTTTGGAGTTTGAGATGACTTGGGAAATTAGGTGTAGAAACATATTGTGCATTGTATTTATGACTATACATATGAGTTCATAGAAGGTACACGAGTCCACAGAGAGAGTACTGCGAACTCCAGTGTCGTACGACCGTGGACGAAGGTGTTGAACTGCAGACTAAACAAATTTACGTAAAAGTTCCTAAAGTTCAACTATTAGCACGAGTCTACAATACGAAATCCGAGTCCGCAATACGAAAGTCGATTCCGTAGAGAACCCTCTCCGGACTCATTGGTCATTTTTGGAAACCCTATATTTTTTTGGGTGTTTTTTGGCACTAAGGTGTGTGTTTTGGTCATATTTGGAAATTTGTCAATGTAGTGTATTTATCGAAACTATTTGAAACTAAACTTTGTATTTAGATATTTTTATTTCATGTAAATAAAATATCAAGAATATATAATGTTTGGCATCATTTTAATAATTTTATCAAGATACATTTAAAAAATACAATTCATTAAGAAATACTTTGATTCTGTTATATATTAATTGCACAGATTCATTCAAGAAAATTTGGATCGAAGGGACATGTAATTACATGCTAATGTTTACAAGCTTTGTGAAACCGAGGTTGAGACCGTGATCGTCTTTTTGTTGGTTGTTCGGTGCTATTGGACGAGGACGAAGCAGTTTTGGTGCATGCTAAGAATAGTACTGTCAATATCCTTGACTACACACCATCCCGATGTCGTACGGTACCACAAAAATGTTGTTTTAGAGGGTAAACTAACTAGTTCCACCATTTATAGTTCAAGCTTTGATTAGTTGTATTTCATGTATAAAAACTTGTAGCACAATAGTTTTGTATGTTTTTAATTAGTTTGTTAATTGTTTTGCATGTTTTTACTATTTTGTGAATTAGTTTTGTATGATATTAATTAGTTTGTATTAATTTTGAAATAAAAGATTATAAGGAGGTTAACGAGATTTCTATCCCAATGTCTATAGATATGCATTATTGCATAATTTGTTATCTTTAACAAACACTTCTAGGTTTGAGGCTTCTAATTAGAACTTTAGAATTGTTTTAATCATGATTGTTAAAATCGAGATCCTGATTGTAGGATCATACGATCTCACCTAACTAAATCGTTCCCAATCTTAGTAGGATCGTTTTTGGTAAAATCGTGATAGGATCATATGATCGTAGAATCGGTTGTAAGATCGTAGGATCGTTAGTATTTTTTTTTAATATTAATATTTTTTTGGACTAATTATGTAAAATATCCTTTTTGAATTGTTTAATATTAAATGATGTATTGAATATGTATTTTTTATGTTTTAAATTATTTATTGTTAACTAAATTGTTAATAGGTGGATGAAAATGCATTTTTTATGTTTTAAAATGTTTTTGGTAGGATTTTACAATCCGATTCAATTTTCCGATGTCGATCACAATTTTACAAAACGAAAAACGATCATAGATCCAATTTTGACAAAGTTGGTTTTAATACTATCATGCTTACAAGTCACTAGTCTATTGCAGTTATTCTGTTTTCTTGGATAGCAAGTAGACAAAAGATCTTTAAGGATGGTTAGATTGGGCTAAAAAACCACATTTAGTTTCTTGTAGTTTTAGACCAACATTTTAGTAGTTTTGCCAAAAAAATCACTCATTCTATTCTAAAATCAAAAAATCAAGTTAAGTTAAAAAATAAAAAATAATACCTAAAAAAAAAGTTGAATAAATGGGGATCTTAAATAAACCCTTGTTGAACGCACATATATGTGTTGTATGAGGAGTTCATTTAAGACCATCCTAACCTCGTTGAAATGACCTATATGTGTGCTGTGATTTATGTTAATTAAAACTCACTCAAATATAACAATAGTATGTGTGTATTCTCCCAAATTTGAATTCAGATTTGGGTTTTATTTTAGACCAAAACGAATTATGAATTTGATTTATGGTATAAATTATGATTTAGTGGAGTACTGGAGTCCGAACCAAACAAAACCGAATTACCAAATTTGATTAATTTATTAATTAAATATAACAATTCTTTATAGTTTAAAATTTTAAAAAGTTATAACATATTTTGATATTTCATATTTTATGGATACATTGACTAACGATGCTAAAATCCCTAAAATTTCCTTCATTTAATTCATTCTTCTCATCTTGTGGTATGTTTCTTTTATGCCATTATATTTGATGTTTGAAAGTTGAAACTTTAATATTTATTTTGAAATTTGGTTTTATATTTGATGCTTGAAAGTTGAAGCTTTAAATATTTATTTTGAGATTTGGTTTCCTTAGTTTTCAAACAAAACCAAGCTGAATTGTAATTTGGTTTTTGGTTTACTTTAAGTTGACTTAAATTTGGTTTGGTCCCTGGGAAAATTTCAAACCGAGAAAAATCAAAGTGAATAAACCTAAGAAATCAAAAACCAAACCAATTTCCACATCTATTTGATTTTTAAGAAAAAAATATCTAAAAGTCTTTTATGTTTTGGTTTTTAAGAAAAAATAAAAGGCTTTTATTTTAAACAAAAAAGTTATTACTTCAAAAGCTAACTGAAGTAGCTTTTAAGAGTGTTTAGATTCTCATGGTAACTTTACACTTTTAAAACTATTTATCACTTTTCACAAATATTTTCTTATATATACCATAACTTTCAAATCTCACTCAATTTTTTTTCCAAAATAAGCCCTAAATGCTTTTATCTGATTTGTATTTTGGTTAAGTTAGATAAGAATAGTTTCTGAATAAACAAACTTTTAGTTAATGCAAATAAGTACTTTTAGTTAATGCAAATAAGTACGAGAAATTTACAAATTTAGCCAAAAACGCTAATTATTTTTTTAAAAAATAGTCGAAAAATCGTTTTTTCAGAAACTATCCAAGAAAATTGGAACACCCGATTCAAGGTATTTTCATTTTTGACCTTTGGTATTTAAATACTTTGCAGATTTGGATCTCTAAGGGGCAGTTTTGCCATTTTCAGAAAACTTGTAGTACATAGGGTGTACGCATGTAGGGGACAAACCCTAATTTTTAGGATTTGGACCCTATTTAAACAACATTTAAGAACCTTGGACTAGACCCCATATGCTATTTGCTATCCTCCATCTGCGAATTATCTTTTTGAACTGTGAATTGGCCCAATTTTCGTCCCATTGTCCGACAAAAATGAGTATCGATAAAAGTTTTTTTTAGATTTTTTCTAAACAAATTGTAGGTGGGTGTGCTCCACCTGCGATTTTCTCTGCTCCCACCTACGATTTACCCTAAAATAATCTTGATTTTTTTAATTTTTCTAAAAAAAGTACTTAAATTTGACAACGAAAGTACAAGTCCTCAGTGTACAACTTGTGCATCACTAGCTTGTGCATTCTCATCTACACATATATCTATGAATGTACAAGTCTTGATGCACAATTTATGCATCAGATACTTGTACATTACACTTCAGATGCATGCGAAATGATCTCAAAACCCAACATACACTACTATTTGCTATCCTCCGGTTGCGATTTACTCTCTTATACCCTCTAGATGAGATTTTCTCACCAGATTTCGTATATTTTCGTTTTTTTGCAAATAAATCATAAATAAACATATCCTAGATATATAAAACTTAATAAAACATGATTAAAACACTAAATAAGTAGAGTTCTTATAGAGTTTTCGGGAGAATACATATCTTCAGCCATTATAGAGGTTGAGAGAATTTTTTGTATGCTAAAATTAGAAAAATATGAGTATTCCTAAAAAATTATGGTATTTATATTTTAGGTCCATGGGCCGTTACTAGGCTCAATTCACAGCTCAACATACTCAAATAGCAGCTCAACATACTTAAATAGCAGCCACAAGGTATGCGTCCGCATGTGTGACTAATCAACTACGATAAATTGCTATTTTTCGAAAATTGCTAATTTTTAGCTATTTTTTAAAAAGTAATTAATATTTTTGGCTAAATTTGTAAATTTCTTGATAAATATTTATTGTACTTAAATTGTGTATCGAAACTAGTAATTACAATTAGTCCATCATTGATGACATATGAAGTTTTTGATAGTCCCTTGATTCTTTATCCAATTGCTCCCCACTTGCTCCCAAACTTTTTATATTTACATAAAGTTTTGAATGATTTGAATATCAAATACCTAAGTTTTTATTTTATTAGAAAAATATATATTGAGAAGGATGATCAATTATTGCCGCCTTCATGCAGCCAAGTTACAGTCTAGTAATCTACAATACGGATCAAGAACTATAGGAACCGGATTTAATTTCATCTTCCAGGAATAGTCAACTAATGAAAGAAGCTATTTTTATTTGATAGAAGTTACATTTTAGATTAACCTCATTGCCTTGATAAATACTAAACATAACTGATTATTATTAATTATTTAACTGCAAATAAACATAAGATGTATTTCATCATTAAGTAGACTTGCTTAAATATGAAAATTTTGATAGAACACCACTGAAGTTTTCAAATTTGTTTCAACACCCACCACTCATTTTGAGATTATATGTTTTAACGACAATATAATAGTTCAATCTATACTATAGAGCATGAAAGGACTTGTTTCCAAACAACGATAAGATCCAAAATTGAAATCAAGAAGGTTTTCAAATTATTTTTCCTTTTCCTTTACTTACCTCAATCTTCGTTTCTGAAACTGGTCAGAAGCTGGTAATGATGGTGGTGGAGTGGTGGTGATGCTGGTGGTGATGGTGGTTTCCAGTAAGTTCCAGGCTGCAATAAGAAATTCAGATAAACTTTATTACTTCACAAAGGAAACAATAGCTAGGGTTCATAACAGCCATCAATGGTGTTAAACATTTTAGATACAATCAAAATGAGGCCCTACCATAAACGACGATGGAAATCCCTTCTCGCTCTTCATCACCTCTCCTCCCATCGTCACCTCTCTCCTCCTCACTTCTGCTTGCAAAACGCGAAAACGCTCCACTTCCTCCGCTATTATCTTCTCCCGTATCATCTCCTTCTCAAGTTCACGCTGAATTGCCTCTCTCTGAATATCCACTGGTCCTCCTGGAAAAATCAAACAAATCACGATTTAGGTAGAAGGTAAAGCAACATAAAATCAATAGATCATGCGATATTGCAACTAGAATAAGCTGAAATCATTAAAAAAATCACCATAAATGGTCAATCGAAAGAATATGATCAGTAATCGCGTACCTTTCATAGCATTGTTGGAGAAGCTAGTGTAGTTTGAAGACGGCATGGAATGGACTTGATTTTGCTGCAGCTGCGCATTGAATCCTGGCAATCTGAACTCCATTAGTACAGCGATGGAGAATTTTAGGGTTTTCAGTGACGGCTATGTAGCAGGTAAGGGCTCCGGTGGGTGATTTGAGAGGACGAACAGAGGTGCGTGCTTGCAGTCTTGCACAGGGTATATTCAGTAATTCAGAAGCAAAAAAAGGACGCTCATGTTTTGTTAGCGGTTTCATCAAATCCGTCACCGCTGTAAAATAAAAAATAACGTGTAGGATTGTGAATGGTTGAAACCATAGAGAAAAAGTTTGTTTGTTTTAATGGTAGAAATGTTAAAAACAAAAATAACCCAAATAACAAAAAATTAAAGAAATAACCCAAATAACCAATGAAATCAATATCTTCTAATATTTAATTTTTGCCATTTTCACTAAAACTTGATATTTTGAGTATGATTTCTAAAATTTTAACTATGATTGTTTACATTTCGATTAAAAAAAGTGCATACAATTTTTATAAAAAATGTTTTTATCTACATTAGGAAAGTGGGAGCTGTAGTCGGTATTTCAACTTTATTTTTACTAAAAAAAAAAATACTATATGTTATAGTTAGTTTTTTTTGTTGGCGCTCGTACTTGTGGAAAGTGGGAGAATGTTGATGATCACCAAAATATGTTAGATCTTTCGTTAAGAAATACGAAGCAAAATTTTAAGAAATTTAATTTTGTTGAATTTTGTGAACAAAGACCGAATTTATAGATATATAATATATCAGTTTGTCTTTTCAACATCATAATAAAACCTTGTGCATGTGTATTTGATTATTTAAATTTTGTGAAAAGTCCTATTCTATAGTGATGTTTGTCACTTGATCAATATAACTAAAAATGTTAGAAGCATGATGCATGTGTATCTAGTTGAAGGTGAGTGATGATTTGATCAATTGGGAAAGGAAAAAGGCTCGTGTGATTAAATCTAGGGAATTGAGGAACACCAATCAAATCAGTAATATGATACTTCTATATATGCTAGTATTTCCAAAAACGTAATGCAATCAACAATTCAATGTGGGTATACTGAAAACTATAATTTTTATCTCTCCGAATCTACCTCAACATCATGATCTCAGTCAACCTCATTATCATGGTCTCATATTATATTTGCACTAGAACACATCAACCATGTCGATGACTAAAATTCTTATAATGAAAATCACCAAAGGAATTGAAACCATCAAAGCAATCCAATGGGATGCCAACTTGTAGCAAATTCAAGAACAAAATCAAGCAATTGAAACCAACAAAGCTATCAAATGGAAACAAACTGAAACGGGTCCATGAGAAAATAACACATTAATAAAAACATATTGAAATTTATAGTAACATGTTCAATAACAAAGTTGTAAGTTGTAACAGGTTTAGGAATCTAAGCATTACACGTAATACATCAACAAACACATATTCAAACATAAAATACTTTAAAAAAAACATTATAGAATCTAAGCATTAAACAAACTAAACACACACGTCCAAGAATTTAAGGTACCCTATTTTATGCATACACCCATACACCATCAACCCAATCTTGACGAACCCTGAACTGTTTAAATGGGAAAAATAATTCTTCCTTTGGATACTAAAAAGAACACTACATAATTGATTTTTTTTCTTAAGCATCTTCCTCACCCACAACCTATCCCCTTTGTAGGTGATAGCTTATTTTATTTCCTTATTTTATTAGTTTATTTTAGATTTTTAGATCTTTTTATCATTATTGCATTGTATTTTATTCATTTTTCTTTAGCATGGATCGTACCGGGTGCTTTTTATGTTGCATGAGGAATTTTGCAGGGTTTTGGTGTTTATTGCGATTGTGGATTAGAGTGAAGGACTTGGGGACTCTCGAGGCGCTATTGGGCTTGGCGGATCCACCAAAGGAGATTTGGGCTTAAAAAGATAAAGTCTTGGATAAAGTGCGCTTGTGAAGATGGATAATGGATAATTAATTTGGGTTTAGAGCATCCACATTTGAAGCAAAAAGATGATTGGTTGATTTGAATCACATGGATATGGAGGGGACCAGAGGAATCTTTGGTAGTGGAAGGGTGGAGTGGTGGAATGAAGGACCAATAGCATTACAACAACATTTGCGCGGGTGGAATTTTCGTCGTGCGGGTACCCGCGCAACTGCCCAGTTTGGGCATTTTGGTCATTTGGCTTGCCATTACCTTGGGGGATAAGACCTAGCAACCATAACTTCGATTTGACACCATTGGAGACCTGTGGGAGGCGATTTTGGAAGCTCAAGACTCATTTCTCTTCATCTTTCCAAAATTTTTGGTAGTTTCTTTATGCAATTAGACTTTTGTGATTGTTGTTCTTTTGCCATGAGTGGCTAAACTCTTTATATTGGTTAACTTTGGTTAAAACCTTTGAATGTTTGTGGGTTTTTGAAGTATTCATGCTAGATTATCAATTATCTTATGTTTATGGTTCTAGATCATATTTCTTATGCTTGTTTAATGCTTTGATCATGAGCTTGGCACTTGAATGAGCTATTGTTAGTTTATTTCTTTGGTTTTGCATTGAATCATTGAATTAACTTAGAACAAGGGCTTTATGATGGTAAAAATCATCTCTAGTTTATGAATCATAGCTCCTTTATGGATGTGTAAGCATTGACATCCTCTTGGAATTGGGGATTCCTTCTTTCTTAAGGCTAATTAACTTCTTGGGTCCAATTGCTTCAATTAAACCCTTGATCTTGATTAAGAAGGTGTGTTGTGGGCTTCCCCAACCTCCATACTACCTAAGAGGAATCTTGGCATATCATGCTTCATGATTGCTATAACCAATTTGGGATGAATGATAAGCTTCATGTTGGATCCTAATGATAAGCACACAAATGTTCATTGTGTTGAATTGTCTTGGTTAACCAATTGTTCCCAACATTTGAGCATCTCACTATCTTGCTTAATTGCAAGTTTTTAGTTATTCAAGTCTTTTAGTTTTCAAGCAATCATAACACCCCCCCCCCTTTTAGTTTAATTGTAGTTAGTTAGTTTATTTACAATAATTCTTTTAGATTGCATTGGTGATTGAATACAACCATTTCCCCGAGGATCGATACCCCTTTTTAGCATTATATTACGTTTTATTTACAAACAAAGGGTGTAATTTGCTTGGTGGACTTGACAACCCACCAAGTTTTGGCGCCGTTGCCAGGGAAATTGGTTATTGTTATTTGATTGTTTATGCCTAGGTCTACAAGAACCGGTGAACTACTCTACAATCCGGAAATTGAAAAAGAAGCAAAAAGGTTGAAAAAGTTAGCCAAACAAGCAAAGTAACAACACCTAGTTCAAGCTTCTTCCTCTTCTCCACTAATCAACATAGAAGACCAAGTTCACACTTCAAGTGATACCGACACCGAGCCGAGTTCTCCAATTGTTGGTCAATCCTTTGAAGATATTCCGTTTGAAAACTACATAGCCATGAATCAAACTCCACCTCACAATCCCAACCAAATCCAAACAATCAAGATGCTATTACCCCACCCCATCAACCAATACAACCACAACAAGAACCTCTCATTGATATGCCACCTTGGAATCAAGCCCCTCCTCAAAACCAACCCAATTATCAACAACCACAAAACCAACAATTCCACCAAAACAACCAACCTCAAACCAATGCTTTTCAAGTTCAACAACAAGTACATTACCCAAATCAACCCAATTACCAATACCCTCCAATGTACCAAAACCCAATGTACCCCCAACAACAACCCCTCTACAACCAATATCCTAACTACCAACCTTATCCACCACCAATCTACAATCACCAACCATACCCATACCCACCTTACCAACAACCACCTAATTACTTGCAACAATATCCCAATAACCCCAATCCACCCAACCCCCCTCAAGAGTTGACACTTCGACAAATGATGGAGATGGATGTTACTCACACACCTCTTGGTATAGTTTATCCCGCAAACCGCCGATGGATTGAATTGAAGTCAAGTTTCATACATCAACTCACCAAGTTCCATGGTTTGGATAGAGAAGATCCTCAAAGGCATTTGAAGTCCTTTCATATGATATGTGTTAGCATGTTGCCCGAACACGTGACATTGGATGATTTCAAGCTAACCGCCTTCCCGCTCACCTTGGAAGATAAAGCTAGAGAGTGGTTATTCAACTTACCACCGGGATCTATTCACACATGGGAAGAGTTACTCAAAACCTTCAATAGCAAGTTTTATCCCTCCTCCTGGATATCAAGTCAAAGAAGCGACATTTTGGGGATTCGTCAAGGGGAGAATGAGACCTTTCATGATTTTTGGGAGCGATTCAACAACTTGTGTACAAGTTGTCCTCAACACAACATACCCGAACACCTACTTCTTCAACAATTTTATGAGGGTATGAATGAAAAAGATCGAAGGATGATTGATGCTTCAAGTGGTGGTGACATCTTCAACAAGACACCTCAAGAGATAAGATCACTTTTTGGAACCATTTCTCAAAATCAAAGGAACTTTGGGACTCGAAATGAAATGAAGAGAAATTCTCCACAAGTGGTTGGTGAAGTTAGCAACACTCAACACTTGGAATCAAAGCTCTTGGATTTGACTAATGTGCTAAGTCAAATGGTGGTGGGAAGTGGTCAACAATTGATGGTATGCGGTATTTGTGCCATGACGGGGCATTATACGGATAAATGCCCCACACTTGGAAGTGAACCGGAGGATGTGACTGCAATGGGAGGATATCAAGGTCAACCAAGACCCATGGGATTTCAAAACAACTTCAACCCAAATTGGCGGAATAACCCAAACAACCCATACCCACCAAAGCAAAATCCACCAAACATTTTGATGAGACCCCAACATCCACAATATCCTTCCCAAAAACCTCCATATCCACAAACTTCTTATAACCCTCCAAATTACCAACAACCTCCACAACAAGGCCAATCAAGTGGTAACCATCAAATGAGCCTTCAAGAACTCGTCACTTCTCTTGCTCAAAGCCAAACCCAATTTCAACAAGAGACCAAGAACACTTTCTCCAACATTCAAGCACAAATTAGAGACTTGGCCACCGCTCTCAACAAGATGGAACAAAGGGGTAAACTTCCATCTCAAACCAAGAAGAACCCCAATGTGAGTGCAATAACCTTAAGAAGTGGGAAAACCCTTGGAGAAAGCAACCCCAAAAGAGTTTCAAGAGAAGAA